CACCCAACCTGCACTTCAACACTGCCAGGGATGGGGCAGCCACAGCTTCCCTGGGCAACCTGGGCCAGGCTCTCCCCACCCTCACACCAAAGAATTTCTCCCTCCCATCTCAGCTCCAGCTCCCTCTGCCAGCTGGAAACCCTTCCCCCTGCTCCCATCCCTCCCTGCCCTTGTCCCAAGCCCCTCCCCAGCTTTCCTGGAGCCCCTTCAGGCCCTGGAAGCTGCTCTCAGCTCTCCCTGGAGCCTTCTCTTCTCCAGGCTGAACACCCCAACTCTCCCAGCCTGGCTCCAGAGCTGCTCCAGCCCTCCCATCATCTCTGGGGCCTCCTCTGGCCTCTCTCCAACAGCTCCGTGTCCTCCCTGTGCTGGGGACCCCAGAGCTGTTCCCAGCCCTGCAGGGGGGTCTTAGCAGGGTGGAGCAGAGGGGGAGAATCAGAAGACAGTGTTCAAATGAGGGATGGATGATCCAAGCCTGCAGGGTGAGGAACCTGGGTTTCAACCACCAGTTGAAATTGGAGGAACAAACTTGTCCTTAGAAACCTGCTGGGGATCGTGGGGGGACTCGGTGCTGTGTTGGGATCACCTGGTGGTTCCTCTCACCCCCTTCCTTTGCTCTGCAGCCCCAAGTACTGCAAAGTGGTGCCAGGGGAGGGGATGCCCCTGCTGCAGGACTCTCGGAGCAAGGGGAACCTCCTCATCCATTTCAACATCTGCTTCCCCAAGAAGCTCACACCCGAGAAGAAGATGCTCTTGAGGAGCGCCCTCCTCTCCTAGGGGACACCAACCCTCTTCCAACCCTCTTCCCACCAATAAACCCTGGAGCCAGCACTGTGACTGCTGGTTCTCCCCAGCACCCTAAACCCCCAGCACTCCTGAGGCTGTTTCCCTTGGGATTTGGATCCACTTGGCTTTCCAGGCTCTTCAGTGTCACCTCAGCCGTGAGGAGGGTGGTGGAAGAGTGTTTTTTTTGAGGGGGTTGTTGTTCTCCCAGCTCAGCTTGTGTGTGGGACCCGCCATGGTTTGGGAGTGATCAAAACCAGGGAAGCAAAGACCACAGGATCTACTCGACTCCTCCCCACGCTTCCTGCAGCTTTCTCCTGGGCAGGGAGGCTGGGAGATGACCCCCTTGGTGTCAGTGAGCAAAGTGCTGCCAGCAAAGGGGAGATGGCAACGTTGAGGACCTTCTGCTGGTGGACATCAGGTCCTGTTTCAGCTGCTGATGAACATCAAGACATTCCAGAAGCTGAAGCACAGGAATGAGGGCATGAACCTGCTGGGGGTTGGGATCATAGACTCATGTCATAGAATGCCAGATTGGTTTGGGTTGGAAGGGACCTTAAAGACCATCCAGTCCCACCCCTGCATGGGCAGGGACACCTCCCAGCAGCCCAGGCTGCTCCAAGCCCCATCCAACCTGCCCTTCAACACCTCCAGGGATGGGGCAGCCACAGCTTCCCTGGGCAACTTGTTCCAGGGTCTCACCACCCTCTCACTAAAGAATTTCTTCCTCATGTCTCACCTCAATCTCCCTCCTCCCTCCATATTATTGCTACGCACCCTTGCAGAAAGGGACACACCAGGAGAGATCAGTGTCCTGTACAGCCAAGGTTGGGATTTGTCCCTCTCTCCTCTGCCAAATGCTGAATATTGAGCCTCTCCAGCAAAGGTGAGCTCACCCCCAGAGAGACCTCAGCACCTTTTGTCCCCCCAGTGGTGCCAGGCAGGTGGTTTCCTGGCGGGGTCTGGGTGCTGCAGCCAAGGAGGGGCCTTTGCATCCCGTTTTCCAAGGGCAGTGCCAGACTCACCCACCTGAC